TGGTTATGGCTTTGGTCATGTGTTACAACTTTACCTTTAGTAACCTTGTGATGTTGTGCATTGTATGTTGTTTATTGTTGTAATAGGTTATGACAGGTACTCCTTTTTATTTTGTTAACCCATGTAAAATTTCCTTTTGGTGTGTTTCTTTGGTCACAATTTGCGTGGCGGTACCTATAAATGACTAATACTTTAGTGAGTTTTATTTTAGCGTGTACTGTTTGCTATAACAGGATGTTGTTATAATACTTGTTACCTCCAGGAATAACCTGGCACTAGGAGCGTAAAAGATTATTTTTTTGTATTCCTGTACTATTATTATGCATCATTTATATTTTCGTAAGGTTTCTTACATAAAATATAAAAAAAAACTTGATTCTGGTGGATCAGCGAATACTTGACCAATTAAAGTTTCATTTTCTGACAAAGCCCCGCGTCAGGAGATTTGTTGTTCCATTTCTTGACAAACATCACTATAATCACCACACATATTTACGCTTTGGCCCATATATGGAATCGGTTTCCTCTGTCTCTGTCTTGTTCAGCCCACTTTTTCATTATTCTTACAATAAAATTGTAGTATGATGTTAAGTTAGATCCGCAGTTTCCATTAGCGAACCCTTTATTTTTTCTCCATTTTAGTAGCTAGTTTATTTTAAGCCCGCAGTTCATCTTGTGAGCATCTAGTTTATTGTACACCTATGGAAAATTTTGATGTTTTCCAAATTCAGCATGTGTAAATTTGAATAATATAATTGTGTATTAATATGATGATGATTTGACTCTTCGAGAAATTTTGTTTGAAGGAGCGTGTACAGCGGCCGCGGAGTGATACGGGGACGGGAGGATGCCATTTGTAATTTGCAGGCATTGGTTGTCGTGGAAAATTCAGCTAATAATCCGGCATCATCGAGGCCAAATTGGGGTGTTTCAGCCTGAATTTGTAATAGGAACCCATATTAATGGCCCCTGTTGAAGAATTGGGACAGGAAATTTGCGGGACCTCCAGAATTATGTGTGGATGACGTTATCACTCGCACAGGGAAGTGTACCATTAGTCTTTTCATTTAGATTTCTCGCTGGCCAGTGTAGGAGTCTATTAGTTAGGCAGGTGTTGTAGTGTGATCCAGTAATTAAATAGTAAGTGATAATGCGAATTTCTTTTCTAATAACGCCATTGTATTATATGTCTTGTACTAATAGTTATTTATATTTTGTGTACCCAGCAAGTAAACCAAAATATAGTCCACACAATTTTAATTTACCAGAATAGCTGGTTTTAATATTGTAGTTATTAATTTAATATCAGGTCTAGCTTTTTGTGAGTGGTGATGGAGTGGGCATCAAGGGAGTTAGTCCTGCGACCTATTGTAACTAAGTCCCACTTACCTCGCCCAAATTACTTGCACGTAATAATTCAGGTAATACCCTGTAAACCTCAGGCAGGTAATTTCTCACATAGTAATTCATAACACCTGCAGCACATACAGGGCTGGATTACCGCATAGGCAAACTAGGCATTTGCCTAGGGCAATGCGCATTTGGGGGCCCCGCGGTCCAAGGGGTTCAGAGGCTCATCCAAGATTGCGCACATGGTGCAAGTGCAAAGGGGTCCCTACCTAAAAAGTTCAAGTGTTTGGAAGTAAAATTGATTTTTAAAAATTAATTCAAAATAAAAATAAATAATGAAATAAAAATAAAAAAAAATAAAAAAACCTAACCATAGATGGAAACACTAAACACGCCTTTGTTTCATCAGAACAGCGTGTTTTTCCCGCTAAGGGGTGAGAATGGGAGATTCCTCTCCAATTTTCTGTAGTAATTACACGTTTCAGACTTGTACTGTGACAAATTAACTAATGTTTTGTAGACATTAAATGTGTATGTCAAAATTTTTTGTTTTCGCCTCTAAATTTAAGGGAGGTCCCCTAAAGGGGTTACTTGACCAGAAAAAGAACGCAGGGACCAGTAAAGACGCATTTTTGGTAAAAAAACTATAAAGAAAAACCAAAAAAACGCAAACGCTTCCTTTTGTAGGTTTTTAAAAAAGCACTTTGTCCTTCTTAAGTTTTATCATTTAAATAACAGATCTAAATTTGATTATGTTCACATCACTTCCGTCGCAAAAAGCTTAGTTTCAATTGCGAGGAAGGATGTAGAACCTAAATTTAAATTTACTACTTTTTTTCCCCCAAAACACAAAGCCCTTCAGAAAACTTTGGGTTTGGGGTAAAACTGAAAATTCCCCTGCTTTCTTTAATTCATGTCCCCAATCTTGGGGGTAGGCCATATATCATGCAAAAATAAGATTAGTTTAGTTATGAAAATGGAAATTTAAAAAATCCATTGTGCATTGTTTTTGGGGCTCAGTAGTTTTTCTTTTTTAAGTAAATTGGAGTCAAGGGGGATGAATTAGTAAAAATTTCGTAGCCCAAATCACAACCTGATCTAGGGAAAAAATTTTCTGAATGACCCTTTTGGGAAACGTTTAAATTTTTAGATGCCACCCAAGGGGAAAGGGGGCTACAAGGGCCATATCCCCCCAAATTGACAGAAAAAAATTAAAAATAATTAAAAAAAATAATAAATGAAATGAAAAAAATTTGATTTGCAGATTCCCAACTGAACACCCATTTATGGCATCTCGTAAACGGATTTTTGGACGTTCTTAGCATGGGTCACAGAAAAGAAAGAAGAAAATTCAAGAAGAAGAAAAAAAAAAAAATGTAGGAACTGCGAAGATCCAGACAGTCACAAACCCCGTTTTCTGATTTTTACCATACGTTGAATCTGCAGATACGCAGATCATACGGGCCCTCCTCCATTTTTCTCACCCCAGCTTCTACTTCTTTTGTCTCCTCTCAATGTCTAAAACGGACTTTTCACCCAAAATGATTTGTCTTAAAAGATCCTGCCCATGGCCAAAGTAACCCCAGATTCCTACGAATGTTTTTCTTTGCAGAAAACTTCAGTCAAACTCTGAACATTGACTTAGGAAATCAGCAAGGATTTATGATGATGGGTCGTCGTTTTTTAAAAGCATTTTCCTTTTATGGGAAGCTTGCAAATTCAGAAACTGTAAAAAAGTCATGGAGGGTATACTTGAAAGCTCAGGAAAAGTGTACTGTTCACATGCGGCTTTTTTTCCTCCCAAAAAAAATTTTACCTTCACACAGGGTTAAATGCGGGAAAAATTCCAAGCGTTTTCGAGGAACATAAACACAACACTCACGGGACGCTTTTTAGCCGTGTTTTTTCGTGCACAGAAAAAAGACTTTTTGGGATTCTCATTTGGAAAATCAAACTGAAAAAGAGCCGGACTTATTTGGGGAAAATTCTAGAAAGAGTTTTTTGCTGTTGTAAAAACTTTGCTCTAAGAGGACTTGCTTTCCCCTGGGGAAAATTAGGTTTTTTTGGTCGGGAAAAAAATGCAATTTCCTAGGAATATAGAACTGTTGCACAAATTTGATCCATTCTTAGAAAAAATGTGTCACGGGGCCCTTTGGGGGGGCAGGAAGAGGCACTGTATCTTACATGTATCTTTCTTTTCAATGAATTTATTGAACTGAAAACAAAAGGTCCTCAATAACATATAGCACTGTGAAAACGCAAAAAATTTGCAATAGTGTAGATTCAACACCAATTTCACATACAATCAATTGACATTCATTTTTCGCTTTGTCGACTCCATGGAAGCCTGTAAGCGCTTTATAAAATTCATTCCCTTCCGGCCATGAGGAGAAACAAAGATGAATGTATACGGATCTCTGCTTGAACTGATCTCTCATTATGGGTCCGTGGCCAGACTACGACCATGCAAGTAACATGTGGGTAAAATTTAAAGGGTTGCAAGCCCGAAACAAGCAAAACAACCCACTTGCGAAAATGTGCCCGCTCACACATTTTCTTAATCTTGTTGGGCATGTGCTGCGGAGTGTTGTGTCGCTGCATTTCAGTTTTTGGACTTTTACAAGCATCTTTAATTTTTTCTCGCTTCAACCCCTCGGTGGTATTCTCCCAAAAACCATTCTGGAGAGCATCAAATCTTTCAAAAACAAGGTGGTCACGCAGCTGATGCACCAAAAAGCTTTTAAAGAAGCTTTGCTGAAAACCTTTGCTTTGATCCAAAAAGCAGAGGAGAAACCAGACAGCAAACTCAAAAAGCGAAGCAGCCACTTACACAAAATTGGAAGATTTTTTAATTGGCCTTACCCTTTTGGCTTTGGGGCGTATACGGGGGAACGGTTAAATGCCCCCCGAACAAGACATTCAGAAAATTGAAATTGAAAATGGCTATTTTTGCTAACCCCAAGAGGCTTTGTGGAATTTGGAAACTCACTTCGCAAGATAACTTTTGAAAATGTTTGAAGAGAAAGCTAAAGCTTTTAAAGATTCAGTTACCCGGGGATCTAGCTTTAAGGGAAAAGGAAACGCATTTTGAAGAGAACAATGAAATTGTGTTTCACCAAGGCAAAAGTAAGACAACTACATCTTTGTCATTCTGGATCACTGATTACAGAATTGGGGAAAAGAAAAAAAAATCTACCAAACTCAATGACAAGTTTGGATTCTGTTCAAAAAAATTCTACTATGCCATCAGAAATTTAGAGAAGCCAATTTAAAAGTTTCAACAACACCTTTCAGAGATGTCAGGACACTTTTTTTGAAGAAATAGTTCATTTTTTTGGGTATAGAAACAATTAAAGCTCCACCGAAAAAAAGTGCGCCCTCACGGCTTTTTAAACATTTTAAAAAATGCAGGTATCCAAAACCCTTCCAAAAGTTGCATGTGTAAACGCCTTTACCTAAAACTTCCAGCACTAACTGTGAAGGAGAACGTTTTATTTTCTGTTTTGGGAAAAAAATGAAAAACCCAGCTCCCTTCAACAATGAGCCAAGACAAATGTATAACCTACCTTTTTGACCATTGAGTTGATCTAACAAAATATTGATTTTCAGAATATAATTGATGATTTTTGCCAATATGAAATCCAGAAAAAGTTTATTTAAGAAGTGCCTGTGAATATAAACAATTCTTTACTTTCTTGAGTTTATATGATTTGATAGTCTTATGCATGATGCAATGATAACAATAATGGTCAGTGATTTATAAAGGGAATAATAGTGCTGTAGTGGTTATGCTGAATATAATAGGTACATGATGTCACTACTTTAATAGCCTAATCTAGTAATACTATGCTGTCTTGAGTTTATTCTCTTTAAAATGCATGATTTAACAAGATAGTTATAATGGCTGTTGGTAAATGGTTTTGGTTGTCTTGATGTACTTTCCCTATTAAATTTAATCTAAATAGCCAGAATGTATTTAATTAGATCTTAAACAGGCTCACACCGACCCCCCCCCCCCCACCCCCAAGCTGGAAGGGGTCGCTTCGCTTACCCGTAACTCAAAGGGGCCCCGCCAATCTGAATAGCCTAGGACCCGGAGACTTCTTAATCCGGCCCTGAGCACATACATTGCAAAAAAAAAAAATAATCCAAGAGGTAACAATGGGTGTTCACGAGATCAGCGTTGGGTACACTCACATCTTCTGTATATTTCAGTCTAGTAGTTGTATAGCCCTTGTGGCTTAGCGCTTCTTTTTGATTATAATAATAAAATTCAGTCTAGTAAGACAACTTTTGAAACTTTCACAGGCACGCAAATTGTTAAAGATTTTTTCCCGCGATTTTTCTTCTTACTTCCGTAGTAGTACCGTCAATTACCATTTCACTCATACTCAAGGGGTAAACTTGTCGTGGGTCATACAACACCTGGGAATGGAAAGCAGTCCAGTTTGATCCGAGGACGGGGAGGGTATCTCCTAATATCAAGAATTTTTCACCCAGCTGAAAGGAGCTGCATCTGTTATGCCTTAAGCAGTCCAGTTTGATCCGAGGACGGGGGGGGTATCTCCTAATATCAAGAATTTTTCACCCAGCTGAAAGGAGCTGCATCTGTTATGCCTTAAGCGGCTCCTTAACGTGGATACCTTGAGGCCTGTGAATAGTTCTTGATCCTAGGAATTAGTTACCTTACTTTCTCTTCTTCACTGCAGTGATGGAGACACATTAGGTATCTTTAAGATCAGTGACTGGCTTCCTTCACTGCAGTGATAGCCTCACGTTAGGTGCCTTAAATATCTGTTTGTCACTTGCTTCTTTCACTGCAGTAATGGAGATCAGCTCGACGCAGAGCCGCTCCAGACTTGGGCCGCTGTTTGCTGTGCCGTGGTCAATCGGCTACATGGTGATTGCTGGTGTTGCTTACCTGGTGAGGTCCTGGCAGTGGCTCCAGGTTACCATCACCCTCCCTGCCCTCCTCTTCACCCTGTATTACTGGTAAGTTCTCAGTTTCGTCAGCAAAGTCCTATCCGGTCGAAAGGCAAAATGCCGACGATTAGGTTACTATCAAGATATTTCCAGAACTTTAAGAAGTTACTCAACAATTTTTCGCTAAAATAGGAACTTTAAGTCATGTCATCTACGTTCTCCGCTAATGTGTCGCTCTGCTATAAGTGTTTTTGTGTTACCCTTAATTAGAACTTTTAATAAATCCCTTGAATTGTATAAGGTTTGGTGGTGAGTAATCTTCAATTTGATGTTTTTTTCCCCTTCACTAAATTCACTGCGCACTGCATATGCACTTAAACGTGTATATTTCTAAGTGGATATGCACCGAGTGGCATACGTTAATATCTCTAGTAAGGCTGATGCATGCAGGGGATGAGATGAAAAGCTGTAAGCCTTCTCCCTGAAAGCTGGCTGCCTTGGATCAAACGTGTAGCGCTAGCTACACGCCAAGGTATTGTCCAGTGTGGGTAGATTGGTAAAGCATTACGTACTTTGTCCCAAGGTTCGTAGGTTCGAGTCTCCTTCAGCCAGAGATGAGTGTTTGTGTATATTTCGCCTGCTCTTGCGAATTCCTTGCATTGTTAATATCTCTAGTAATTCTGATGCATGCAGGGGATGAGATGAAAAGCTGTAAGCCTTCTCCCTGAAAGCTGGCTGCCTTGGATCAAACGTGTAGCGCTAGCTACACACCAAGGTATTGTCCAGTGTGGGTAGATTGGTAAAGCACTGCGTACCTTGTCCCAAGGTTCGTAGGTTCGTGTCTCCTTCAGCCAGAGATCAGTGTTTGTGTATATTTCGCCTGCTCTTGCGAATTCCTTGCATTGTTAATATCTCTAGTAAGGCTGATGCATGCAGGGGATGAGATGAAAAGCTGTAAGCCTTCTCCCTGAAAGCTGGCTGCCTTGGATCAAACGTGTAGCGCTAGCTACACGCCAAGGTATTGTCCAGTGTGGGTAGATTGGTAAAGCATTGTGTACCTTGTCCCAAGGTTCGTAGGTTCGAGTCTCCTTCAGCCAGAGATCAGTGTTTGCGTATATTTCGCCTGCTCTTGCGAATTCCTTGCATTGTTAATATCTCTAGTAAGGCTGATGCATGCAGGGGATGAGATGAAAAGCTGTAAGCCTTCTCCCTGAAAGCTGGCTGCCTTGGATCAAACGTGTAGCGCTAGCTACACGCCAAGGTATTGTCTAGTGTGGGTAGATTGGTAAAGCATTGCGTACCTTGTCCCAAGGTTCGTAGGTTCGAGTCTCCTTCAGCCAGAGATCAGTGTTTGTGTATATTTCGCCTGCTCTTGCGAATTCCTTGTTTTATATATATATATATATATATATATATATATATATATATTTTATATATATATATATATATATATATATATATATATATAACAAGGATAAATTAGAGATATACAATGAGTGAAGGACAGGATCAAAAGAATCGGAAATATCAATATTTACCTTAAATGAAGTGAGCGTAAAACTATTACAGTTCATTCAGTGATAATAGGTAGGGGATATAAAATTACGGTAGAGATCGACACCATGCCTAACTCTTCTAGGGTAGGGTAGGTGCCTGAGTCAGAGCTTGCAGCTCACAAGACTGTCATTCCCATTAACCCTCTTGGGGCGGGGATGGCAGACCAGAGAGGCCTAGCTTCTCCCTACGAGCCCCATGAGGGCGGGGAATATGGCTAGTCCTGGGGACAGTTGGTCCCAAAGATGAGGGGGTACTTGTACCTCCTCCCATGGGAGACTTAGGTCTCAGACACTACCTAGACAGGGAGCCAAGGCCATTGCCACCACTTGGAAAAGGCCCGGGAGAATACCGGCGAATCATGAAGAAGAAGAATTACGGTAGAGGTTACTGAGAATAACCTCAGGAATATTAACCTCATATAACAGATCTTAACACTGGTACTCACCTCCCATCCCCATACATCACAGTACTCACCTAGGCAGGCAGCCCAACAGTCTTACTGGTGATGATAATGATGACAATATTCCTCAAGGGCCTATACAGACAACCCATTCCATCCCTGTTTCCTGTTATCGCGCGAAAGTGTCATCCAGTTGTGGGCTAGCGGACTGCCAGCAGGAACAGCCTGGTTAACCAGGCAAGCACTAGCGAGCCTAGTCTTAGGCCGGGCTTCGGGAGTGAACTTGTGAACGACACACTTGTTCATGTGTCTTAAAAGCAAGATGGGAAAAACAGACACGAGATATCACACCATAACTTTGTTATACACACGGAAATAGGTGAAGAGATGAACGAGATTGTATATTTTCAGAGAATACGGGGTGGAGTGGAACCACAGTCGATGGCCTCCACTCCAAACCAACAGATACAGATACTAATGCCGGAAAAAAAATCCCCCCCCAGTACCAACAATACCACCAGTCCGATAACATTCTTCTTTGCAAATATACAGGGTCTAAAGCCAGCTACAAACAACAAAATACCTTTCATCCGTGGACTGCTTGCAGAGGCAAAGGCAATGTTCGCGGCTTTCACTGAGACCCACATAAAGGATCACTTGGACAACGAAGTATGGATCCCAGGTTACAACCTATACAGATGTGACAGAGTGAACAGGCAAAAGGGGGGGGTTGGCCTGTACATTGCAGAGTCACTTGTTTGCACAGAACTGCTTAATGCCTCAAATGACGTAGTGGAAGTTTTAGCAGTAAAAGTCGAGAACCAAAACCTAGTCATTGTGGTAGTCTACAAGCCTCCGGATGCAACATCCCAGCAATTCCAGGAACAGCTGTTAAAAATTGACCACTGTCTGGAAAATCTTCCAGCTCCTGCACCCAACATCTTGCTCCTGGGGGATTTCAACTTAAGGCACCTAAAATGGAGGAATATAGCAAATAATATTGTTGCAGAAATAACACCAGGGGCAGCTCGATGAAAACTCACACTCACACGAGCTTTTAAATCTCGCAAAAAATTCAATTTAAACCCAGAAAAAAAATAGGCCTACAGACGGAGAATACACAGACCTCATCTTCACTAACAATGATGATCTGATAAGAAATGTCCCAAATTTAAAAAACAATATATCAGATCCAAATAATTGAGGTTCAGCATGTATGCATGGACCCCAGCCCGACAAAATGAGACTATCATGAGGGAGCTTTCACTAAATCAACTTCAATAAAAAAAACATAAAGGGGCCCAAAGAAAAACCAAGCCCTAACCGATATAAGTGGGAAATATACTAAGCAACACAACCCAAACTTATGCCTAGAACAGATTAACCGGTGGCACTCGATGTATGCACAAGGCTTACCTTAAAAAAAGGGGGAGTAGATGTAAAATAGAAAGAGACGGGCCTCCCTTTACGGGCGAGGGAAAAAGAATAACAAGCGGCTAAAAGAGGTCAAAACTGAAATGCGCAGGGGACACTGGTCAGAGAAATGCAAGCATCGAACTTAACTAAAAACCCTTTAGGAGTCAGGAATCCGGGAAGAACTAAAACCCAAAAGAAATCAAAAGAAACCCAAAGTATTTCTTCCCCTAGCCAAATCAAAATCGAGAACAACGTCCATAGGGCCCCCCTACTTAAACAAGATGGGTCCACCAGTACAGCAAGGAAATGATGAGCTACTCAAGCCCCAATAGACTAGTTTTAGCAACCCGCTAACCAGATGAGGTCGAAGACCAAAATAAATTTTTTATGAGAGAGCCCAAAATTTGACTAACACAAGCCTATCCGATGTTACCCTGATCCCAAAATGACTTCGAACAGGGCGAAAATGAATCCCCATGCCTTGCCCAGGCCAGACTCAGGGAACTCTGTGTTTCATAAAGAACTGCAAGAAGCCCTATACACCCTTTTCCACCCTATGGAGGGGGCATGGACACGGGGTCGTCCCTCAGTCTAAAAACAAAAGACATAGCCCCACTCCAAAAAGGGGGGCGAAAAGGGCAACAGCAAAAACTACAGCCCAAATAGCCAACATCCCTTTTCATAAAAATCTTTAAAAGGGGTCCTAAAAAAAAGCAAGATCACCACCCATCTAAAAAAACCCTCATTACACAACCCAGGGCAACAGGGGTTAAGAACAGGTCGCTCCTGTCTGTCTCAATACTGGATCACTACGACAAGGTCCTAAATGACTAAAGACAAAAAGAATCGATGTAATATATACAACTTTGCAAAAGCCTTCGACAAGGTGGACCAGGGCGTAATAGCGCACAAATGCGCGAAAAGGAAAACAAAAAGCGGTCGATGGATCTATAATTTCCTCACTAACAGAAACAGAGATAGTCGTCAACAAGTAAAGCCCGGGGCAGCTCTAAAAAGCCTGTCCCACAAGGCACAGTACTAGCTCCCATCTTTTTTCCTCACCCTCATATCCGCATAGACAAGGATGTCAGCCACAGCCCCGTGTTTTCCTTGCAGATGACACCGAACTCATGACATGTTTTCCATTGCAGACACTGCAAGGCTCCAGGGGACATCAACCAAATTTTCAGTGGGCTGCAGAAAACAATATGAAGTTCAACGATGAGAAATTTCAATTACTCAGAATGGTAAACATGAGGAAATTAAATCTTTATCAAGTACAAAACAAATTCGGCCCAAAAGAGCGAAACACAACGTCAAAGACCAGGGTGATTAGTCGGAGGATCTCACCTTTTAGGACCATAAAAATTTTTTATCAAGCATCTGCTAGAAAAATGACGGATGGATAAAAGGGAAACCCTCAAAAATAGGGGGGCCAAGCCCCTATGACCTCTTCATCACTTGTTCTATCTAGGGGGGAATATTGCTGCACTCTAACAGCACCTTTAAGGCAGGGAAATTTGGGCCAAAAATGTACAGAGAACTTTCCCCGGCGCCATAAAAGGGGATAAACACCTCAATTACTGGGGGCGCTTGGGTTTCTAAACCTGTTTTCCCTGGAAGCAGGAGGGGAGATACAGTTATTCACCTGGAAAAAACCTAGAGGGGCTAACCAAACTTGCACACGAAAATCACT